AATTCAGCTGCAAGCCAGATAAACCATTCACGAATATAGCCTTCAGGATTTATATTGTGCTATTGGATCAAGGCTAGATCTCCCTTGAAGCTCCAAGTAAAGCTGGGGCTTAAACCCTACAACAAAACTCTGGTGTCAGGGTGCTTGGTTTTAATTCACAATGTCCTAGCTATGGAGTGGAGATTTTTAGGCTGATTATCATCACACATGATGTTTATTAAGCCTTGTGTAGTCCTGCCTGCATCAGCTAACTGCAACATGGAAACAAAACCTTTATGTTTTCCCTCAAGAGTCACCTGTGATGTTTTGGAGAAAGTATTTATAGGAGAACCCTGATTTATCTAATTTGGAAGCAATGGTCCCTGATCAGTCACTTCCCTTGAAACATACCCATTTCTCCCTGAATAAAAGAGGAATAACAATACTAACAGAGCTTTCTAAAATACTTTGAGATCTATGAAGAGAAAGGGTTGTCTGTAAAGTGTTTAAACACCTCAAAAAAAAGGTGCTATATAAATGCATATTTATTGCAGTGCTGACATTCTTATGGCAGCTCTGAATGCAGAATCAAAAGCAGAGGGGGTAGAATATAAGTCAGAATAAGAAACTGTCAGCCTTTAGCCTGTATCTTAAACTGCTTTGAAACGTTGCAGACATTCAGAGAATCCAGTTTGCCAATATTGTATGTGCTACAGTAATTACACCAGTCTGGAATATAAATTTTCCTCTCCCTTCCTAAGAGAGGGCAAAGCTCTTTGGGATATACGCAAATGGAGCTCTAATCCTACCAGCTTTAATGCATGCACCTAATGTTTGGCAGCACAGTTGTCCCACTGATTTCAATAGCTCTACTCAGATGCATGTGTGGAAGTGTTTGCATGATTAGAAGTTAATAGCAGTAACTGCACAGTCCGTACAAGACCCTGTGTGAACAATCTACTTCTGCATGCAAGTGATGATTTTATTGCTGTTCTGTAATTCTGAGTAGTGGCTTTGTGAAAAAGCCTTGTATTTTCTAAAGCAGGAAAATGTTTCTGATCGTGTTTTTCATTGCTAAGCTCTTTGGGGGCTAATTAAAAGAAGTATCTGTTAAATTTATTCATTACTTGGTTCCTTGATAGCAAGAGGCACCTGGTGTAAACATTACAAAGAAAAGCACCAGCAGCCAGACCTCATCAAATTTTAGATGCATTAGGACATTTTATTTAGAGATATGAAATTGGTTTTAATGACTTCAAAAGAAGGAAATGCCAGGAAGAACATAATGTGAGCAAGCTCAGTAAAGCTGTCATGAAGATGCCTGAACCCACTAAAATCTAGGAATTGTATTTGCCCCCCCCCTTCTCCTCTCAATAAGCAGCAATTCCAGCTGCAAATGGCAAAAATATACGTAAAGAACTCCAGGACTAACCAAAACAAGCAGCAGATAAGATGGAGCATCCAAGAGCATGTCTACACTGAAAGTACCATCACTGGAAGACCAGAAGATTGTTTATACTGAGTTGACTGATTCAGTGAATCAGATCCTGAATTTTTACCCCTATGATTTAAGGATGAGAAATCCATCCTTCTTTTGGGGATAACATTTAAACAGGCACTTAATGTTAAGAGTATGTGATACATTCACTTGACTTCATGTTCAAAATGCTTAGTAGTTTCATTCTGTTCCCATTACAGGCTTCAATAAATCAGTAATGAATAGTGAAGCAATACTTTATAACTAAGCATGCATTCAGCACTGTCCCAAATAAAGATGCAATAAATTCATGATCAATAGACTTAATGCAAGTAAAGAACATCAATAATTGTCCTGAAAAAGTTCTCTCTTCATGAGGCAGTAATCTATCCTAAAGGTAGGTTTCATCTTAAGGCACTTTATTCTAACAAGGCATATTCATTCACACTAATTTGAGACAAGCAATTCACGTGAGTCCACTTGATGTTAGTAAAATCATTGCCCAGTTTTAACAGGATGAACCACACCACATCATTTCTTCTTTAGAGAGCTGAAGTTTTGAGATAAGTGTAATATACATAACTGCAACCAAAGAGGTAGAAGATTTATGTTACAAGAAGACCTCTCATTCAGTAGTAGCAGGGCTATAGAAGAATTGGGCTTTTGAAGACTAGAGGAATGGTGTTTTGTGGCCTCTTAGAACACCATGATCTTTTCAAAGGGTCACTTCCCAGTTTGAAAGCCACAGTTTTGTTGACTCCTTTGGTTACATCGGGGTGCCTCATTACTAGGGCAGGAACTTTTCCTCATGCCCTTGCAAATGAAATAAAGACATAGATTTTCCATCCTGCTCTGACCTTTGGAAGATGTTGTCTCTGCCAGTACTGCACTCTCTGGCCCTGGAGAGACTTACCGGTTCAATCCTGACTCTCAGGGAACCAAGCCACCTACTGAATCACAGCCACACTTCCTGAGGCTAACACCTGTGTTTTCCTTGGAGATCACCCCATCCAAGAACTAACGAGGTCAGACCCTGTTTCACTGAGGAGATCCAAGCAGCAGAATTGACCAGACCTCCAGAATTAGATGTGAAACATACCACAAAGCCTCAGAGGACTCTGAGAATGAGGAGCTGTAGCCAGGGAACAGAGTCCCAGCTCAGAAGTGTTGCTTTCAGGCAGAGTACAAGTACAGTATGCTGGAGTATGAAGTCTCCATTCCAGGTTTTAAGTGACTTCAGTGACAGGGCTTTGCTAGGTTTAAGATGAAAACAGGTCTAGACAAGGGGGAGCAATAGAGACTAACTTATAAATGACTCATTCTTACCAGCCCTATATGTGAGGCTTCTGCTTCCACCAAGCCAGGTGACATTTAGCTGCAAAAATATTTAACCTGCTTTTTACAAGGATGTGCATCATTGACTATGATAAAATACAGGGATGTGGGAGAGTCAGGATGCAGCTTTTTCAGGCTGCTCCATCTAAAGAAAAAAAGGCAATAAAAAGGAGGTCTTGACATGAGGAAAACATCCCAATGAAATCCTGCCTTTTAATCTCAGCCACAATCTCTGTTCTAATCATCTTCCCTGCTTTTTAATCCTCTGCTGCACTTCGGTTTTTAATACCCATTCACTTTATCAACTTCACCTGTCTCAGAAGTCAATAAAAGCAGAGGCCACAGTTTTAAAATACACGCAAATGAACTGAGGTACCAAACTCCTTAACTTCTCCAAGATGTGCTGACTACTCACAACTGTTAGTAACTTCCAAGCAATGTATGGGTGATCAGTGCCTTTAAAAATCACTTTAGTGCTTGAAGAACACCACTAAAAACCACAGAGGATAATACTTTCAAAAGCTTCTGACTGAAGAGTATTTTACTTTCAGAAGTGATTTAGGAACTTGGGAATTCAAGAACTGTAATTCCCCCTCCCCACCCTCCCATCTTCTGAAATGCAGAATTATTTTTGTGTGCAGATACTCTTGTAATATACTCACCCATAAGTTTTAGTCCTGCCTCTGAGAGGGAGGCAACATTGTGGATGCAGTTTTACTTCCACCCCTCCTAGGCGGAAGGCTCTCATTGAAGAATAGGGTTTTTTTAGTCTTTCTCCTGTTACCATTTTTTTCCTGACATCTGTTCATCACTAAGCCAGCAATAGATTTAGTGTCCCACTACGATGTATATGAGCTTCCAAAACACTTTTAGAAGAAGGAAGAGATTGCCAAGTGTACAGAGAGACAAGCAAAGCCAATAATGTCATAGCTTAAGCCAGCTTGTTGATAGAGGAGGTTTACAGCTGTCATTAGTGAAATGGAGAAGAGGGCCACTAGTATAAACTCACATCAGTGACAGCTATAGATCAGGGAAAAAAAAAACCTCACCACATGGCAGCATTTTACTGCTGAACTGTTGGCCTCAAATTCTGTTAATGTTTAGCTAATGTGCTGATCTTCAACATTTGGATTGCTGCTGGTAGCAAATCGTCAAACCAGCCTGAGGCCTTCACAAAAGTGTGTTGACTGACCAGAGCCAGATTAAAGCTTCGCAATTCCTCCTACTGATAGTCCTAAGGCATCTGGAGCTAAAGGGGTCAATTCACTTACACCTCCTTGGTCTGAGCTATCTGGATTCTTTAGCAGCTACTGAAGGCAGTGGGGAGTCTGGGATGCTATAGATGTGGTTTGCGTGTATCCCACATACACCTTATGAATTTGGCCAGTTTCTTTGACAGACAGAATGGTTTGATCTTGCCTCCGGAAGTGAGGCTTGTAGGTCACTGCTTTTCAAGCTCCCAAGAAGTCCTCTACCACCACAATTGCTACCTGTAACTGCATACTGAGCTGAAGCAGTTAACTATGCAGCACAGTGGAGTTACATTTAAAACATACTGGTTTCAAGCCTTGCTCCTCCATGGCAAGACACATTTTTAATAGAAAGGTACACATTATTTTCTCTGTGTCTTTAAAGAGGAGGAAGGTTCTCTTCTCTCTTGAAACAGTTTCACAATAGCCTAGCTCCTGTGACCCTAATGAAGGAAAGAAGATTCAGAGCCACTAAGAATTTAGGAAAGACTGCTGTGTATTACACCTGCAGTACTAGTCTGATGCATGATGGTCAGAAGACTGAACTCTTTTGAGCTGGTTTCATATGTCTTTGAGTGTACTGAATGTGGAACTAGTGACAGCAGACAGTGCTGGCACACTGGACAGTGTGGCATAGTGGAATAATGGTTGGAGTCTTAGATACTATGAATATAACTAGAGAGAAACTATTCCAGCAATTGCAATTAATTTTTCAAGGTAAACTTCTTATTGCTGTGCCCACGTTAAGCTACAGGTTACTGTTCCAGAACCTCTTTTCTTGATTGAGTTCAAGCTCTTTCTTTGGAATAGCATTTTAGTTTCCCTTCCTTAATTTAGATAAGGTTTGAGTCACATTTTACTGCATTCATTTTCCTTTGGTTTTCTTTTGCATGGAGAACCCCTCAGCCTTCTGATCTATAATATCAGACACCACTCCTAAAATGATCCTAGCAACCTACCTGGTTTCATCCAAAAAAGTTTTCTCTCAGTTTGCCTCCTGGCCTGAAGTGCTGCTTAGATCTCTCTCACTGCAAGAAACCTTCTCCTCTTCTGCTATTCATCATAGCAATTTCACATGCTCTCTTCAGCTGTTCTCTCCATGGGCTGGTGAAGCTGGTATGGTTATTATCCTCTTTATCCTGTACAAAGTATAAAACAAAGGGAAAAGAAGATTATTTATGGATAACACTGGAGACCACCCATATAGCAAGAAAAATTGAGACAACACAGTTGTTTTCATGGTTAGGGCAGTTATACGCATGCATAGCTTGGATTAGACAGTCCTTCCCATTTGACTTCTGTTCTGCAGTAAATATTTGTAACTTTGCTGATAAAGCAATCCTGGATTTCTCAGCTGGGATTTCATGTGGACAATAAGCTGTGGGCCTGAAGTGTGGGATCTTTAACAAGCTTTCTTGAATAGACATTTGTTCCACTCTCTATCTTGGTCATGAAAAATCTGCTCAGGAATCAGAGGGCAGAAAAAAGCCTTTAAATAGAGCTGCTTTGGCTGTATTATTGATTGCTTGTGAGGTCCATGGAAAGAGGTTATAAGGGCTCCAAGGCATTAAAACATTCTTTATTGTGACCCAAATTCAGGCAATTTATGTATAGGAAGCGGCAACAGCACAATTTTTAAAAAACATTATATGATTTCTATTTAATGTACATTATCTTTGCTTCAGTCTTGTTCTGCTCACAAGCAAAACACATCACTTGTTCATGCCTGCCCTGCCTACGCATACTAGAAGCTTCTGACAACAGTCACTGCATCCTGGAGTAGTTCAGTGTTGCGACCATGTAAACAAGCACAGTGAGTAAGAACCTGAAAGGGGTGTGAGCAGTGCCCATTGCTGGCCAGCCTGAGGTCTTGAAGCCCTTGTAGCTGAGATGGAGCTCAAGACAGCCCTCATGGCAGGATAAATTGTGTGACCAGGAATAGGGCAGTTCCAACGCAGGGCTGCTGATCTGAGTTCTAGCTGGGAAAGATGCTCACTCTGAGGTCAGCACCACTGGCTTGCCTCTGACTTGGCTTTCCTTTTAGCTCAACACATTTTGCAATGGGACACCCAGAGAATTGTCACCATCTGTCACCTGTAAATTACTTTCCAAATAACTGCATACACCTTCAGTGCACATCATCTCCATCCCACAACTAACCTACAGGTAGGTTTCATTTTCGACTCAGAGCTCAAGACTTTTGGCCACTTCTAAATTCACTGGTTTACAGTCACTAGTTTCTTCCCAACAGAGAAAGAAAATCCCCAAGAAGAAAGAGACATAGGAAGATAAGGATGACTTCAAACTTCAGCTTGACAGCTTATTCCCTTTCTGAACAAACGACCACCCTAACACATCCCTTTTCCCTGCAGATCTCTCAGGGCTTTACAAAGGCAACAAATGTTACCGACACCCTTTTACAGTGAGGGAAACAGGAGCACAAAGGGGAAAGTTGTTTGTCTGAGACCCCTTCAATAGACCAGCAGCAGAGGTAGGACTACAAACAGCAATCTGCTCACTAGGGAAGCTGCCGCAGTACTTGCTGCCTAGAGTGGTCACATTTCTAATGCAAATAACATCTTTGTTTAGCATTCTTTGTCTTTCTGCCAGGGACAAACACATGCAAGAGCTGTTCAGACCTTTCTGACCTCTTTATCTCTTCTTCCCCTCCTTTCAACATACACATTCCCAGTTAGTCTTAATCTGACATCAAAATTCCCTTTGGGATAGTTTTAGGGTTTTATGACTGAAGTTTCTTATTCCAGGCCTCTTTCTTATGGTGTTGGCTCTGGCATTTAAGGAGATAAAATTTGGTGTGTGCAAAGCAGGAAAATGAGATACGTGGGATGTTCAATGTGTTCAATAGGTAGTTGAGACAACATCTTCTATATAAAGACTATTTCAAAAGTGCAAGCTGCAGTTGAATGCACTATTTAAATTCAGCCTTGGCATATTTTGCCATTTCCTGCCCTGAAGAGCAGCTCTCAAACTGTTTTGAAATAAAAAGACACAAATGTTGGAAGGATACAAGTGGTCAATTGACCTCATCAGTGCTCCGTGCTGGTGCTAGGCAGGAATTTTCCAACAGGCCTTTTTTTAGGGAGGGAGTGGAGCAATGGGAAGACAGAAAATGCTGATCTCAGAACTGAAGCTTTTTGTGGGAAACACATCAATTTCAATAAATGCCTGCTGGGAAGAATCTTCCAGCCCAGCTTGAGACTGATGGACAAAACCTGATTGGGAAAGGATCCCAGCATAGCCAGCAGCACAGTGGTTAGCACATTCCCTAGTGATGTGGATTTATACCATGTGATAGAGGAAAGATTGAGTTGGGTCCAAATAAAGCAGAGCAAGCATTTGACATAGTCTTCCCACAGCCATTGCAAATACCCCAACCTCTGAGCCATCGTCTCGTGTCTGCCCCAAGGAATGGGATTTTTATGGAGTCAGAACCAATCCAACAGGAGTTATTGTGCTAAACAGATTGATTTAGTCAAGGAGGTGTTGTGGAACATAAACATGAACCTGGTCTTCTGACTCTTACAGGACCTCAGAACCAGGCTTTGGCATATTGTGACCTCAACCTCTGTCCTGCTCACTTGCTCTCTTTAACAAAAGTTCTTCTTATTTTGATGAGACAAAAATTCTAAACCATCCGCATTTGTTCTACAGCAGATGTTTTGCTTTCCAGCCAGCTTTACTCAGCATTTCATGCAAGGGATCCCTTGGTCTGATACCAGACATTTAACATCTGCCCAACTTAAGGTTTTCATTGTAACCATTTCTAAAAAGTGACCAGTATATACAGAATGAGAAGCAATTTCTACTACCTCAATAGGCTGTGAACCAGACCCCAAATTCTTTGACAATTCCCCAAAGTGTGTTGTGAGGTTTCTTTGTATAACAGAAAATAAAAGATGTGTTCTGTACAATAAAACATCATTTAGGGAAGCACAGTAGGAGACCACACTGGAAAGGTCAGTGCTCTGCTGGTCTGTCTTCTGTACGTTACTGTTTCTTAATGTCTTATTTTTCTATTCCTAGTCTCAGAGAGAAACTGGCAGGAATTGTGCAAGATCCTTGCATAGTTACAATCAGATCATCTCCTTGTTACAGCTCTGTAGCTACTGGAGAACTGGTTTCCACTCCCTTCAGCTACTGACTGTTTCTCACTATGGTCTTAATTATTGCAGAATAATGTGGGATGTATCAGGTAAGCGACAAGAAATGAGCTGTCATCAAAAAAGGTTTCAAATCACTAACACCTGATTTTTCATAGTGTCACATTTTCCCCAATACAGATGGTTAATAAATTCAGAAAGTAGTGAAAGAAGAGAGAAAAAGGAGGAAGGCATGATCTGTGAGTGTGCTGAGGAACACTGAGACTTCCTGGTATTGAGGGAGGCAGTGACAGGTTATCTCACATGGCCAGAGAGGTACCTGGGATGTAGGATTGTGAAATAGACTTTCATATCCAATTCTTTGGCCAATAATTACTACTCTCTTTTCGAAACTAATAATGTATATAGGAGGAATGATACTGGCAATTGTTTCTTCAACCTATCCAACAGCTTCCATTTGGCAAGAAGCTCTTTTCCAACCCTTTCACAGTATAAACTAATGCTTCTTCTGAATTAGGATCTGCATTTACATACAGTTAACTGGTGGCTGGGTGACAGTCTAAAGGGACATTACCTGAAAGCTGCTGAAGAGTAATGATATTATTCTATCATTACGAGAAGAAAAGGAAACTGTACATCACATGAAAGGCTGACCTGCTACTACTACCACATAACGGATGGGTACACTGCTGAGTCAATACTGTTCAGAATACAGAAATTTATCTGCAAAGACAGACACTCTGATGTCCACATTAAGACACTAGTAAAATGTACAGCACAAATATACAACATATTTCTTGGTTATTTCTCTTTGCATACAGGTTTGTTTTATATCTTCCCCCCCCCCCGCATATTTGAAGACATGGGGGGGGGGGAGCGGAATTAGTGTTCTAGCAAGCAAGCACCTCATCTCACCAACATAAGGGGGGGAAAATCATTTCCAAACTTGACAAGAGATAAGCCACACATAGAACCTACTGAATAAGCATAAGATTTACAACTTGAGTACAGGCAGCAGGCACATCAGAGTCTACCTTCAGAACAGAATGGCTGCAGCTGAAAGGAAACTCAAGCACTAATGGTTCTTTCTGTTAGTAAGTTTACAACACACCACAGGGAAGACACAAAAAACTCCTGTGAAAAATTCTGAGTACATTGACAAAAGAAGAAAACAGATCTTATAGAAAAGTCAACATTTGTTAAATAAAAGCAAAACATGGTGCTGAGACTACAGCTCAATTCAAAGTGAAGCCAGGCAATTTCACAGGTAACTGGAAGGAGTATTGGGAGAGAGAAAACTCATGCATCAGATAGACATCTGGTGATTACAAATTAGAACTGGATATTTACTGAGATAAGATTACCAGACCCTGGACTCCATTTAGTTTCTTGCCTCTTCCTTTGCAGAATTTAGTTCTGGTTGCTGGGGGTATAATACACTGAGCTATTGCATCTTCATTTGGAAAAGAGAGACATGAGGAAAAACACAGTCCCATCTGTTAGTGTAGGTGGGCATGTACATATATCTATCCACACATGGCTATGAATGTTTGGCAAACACTGAATGCTGATGGAAGCTTTGGGATGCCGAGAGTAGAAGCAAGAGCCTGAAAGCTCTTCACCGAATAAAGCCTCTGTACAACAGATACACTCAAGATGTAAACAGAAAGATAACATATAGTAATGTACTTGTGCTCTCTAAGCTCTGTTTCTAGTTTCTCTGCATGAGAAGCACAATTTCCAAGAGTTCAGCTCCCATTTAAATAGCAAAATCATGAAAAATCCTATGAGCACCCTGGAGTCTATCAGCACAGCCAACTGTATTTCATTTGGAGCAGCAGAGCTACATCAATTTGCACTAGGCAGGGAGCTTCTGTTTCCAAACAGACCATGAGGAGAGTTACGACCTGCAAATCAGGCCAGAATATCCTTGGCTCTGTTTCAGGATGCAAATACTGTTTTTTTCTCTTAGAAATATTAAAATTGAATGATCTAGTGAGGAGGTCTTTTCTACCTAC